CGCCCTCTGAATATGCCGCCTTGAAAACATCTTAGACTGGTGAAATCACGGTTTTTATGCGAGTTGAATGCGCTGTCGCATATCGATTGACGGAGGTTAAAGAACGGAGAGGTATTCGATGGTTGACCGCTTAAGTACAAATGTTTTAGAACTTTTTATATCTAAAGACTTTTTCTAAAACTGCAATTTTGTGACAAATATTTTAGGTGAACTTTAGCGTCGAGTCTGACGTGAGTCTCTTTTTTTATAAGCACTAAAATTGTATTTTTATTTTCATTATTTGTTACACGAGGGACTCGTGATTATCGTAATTCCAACGATATTTAAAGCGATAGCTATAAAATTGATGACAATTAAAAGATTTTTTACCATTAAAATAGTCGTTGAGTGTTATTAAAAATATACTAAGAATAGCCTATGTCGCCCGGAGACATTGTAGGTTTCCAACAGTGAAAGAATTTTTCCAATCGGTTCAATAGTTTCGAAGTCTATTCAATGCAAACAATGACACAAGCAATCAAATATTTCCTCTATAATATTAGTATACATAAATGTTGTCGTAAATTACGAAGCGTTTAATTTGCAGTAAAATATTTACTACATACTCGTTCTGTATACATCGCCTCGTATCCGGTGCGGCTTGTTTCAACTCCCTTTATCAATTACTTCGGGCAACAACGTTTCAAAAGGTAAACGTCGGTTAGCGAGTAGGGCGTGAAGCCTCCAACACAGCCCGCTTTAAACTCGACACAACAATCTATCGCACATCTCCACCAGCTACTTGTTAAAATTTAACTACAACTATTTTGATTTAATAAATTTATAACTTATCATATTACTATCTTATTTCTTACTGAGTATTAATGCGAATGTTTGGATGGTTGCATGGATGTTTAGTTTGTTAGAAGGTATCTCCAAAATTCATTATCGAAATTTGGCACAGTTATAGAACACAGTCTGTAATAACACAGGATACACTTTTAATCATTTTGAATTTTTATTAAAAAAAGCTAGGACAAAATAAAGCAATTAAGGATTATGTTGCAAAAGTTAGGAATATATAAAGTTATTTAAAAAGCCAAACTATTATTTTTTCCTGCTAAATGGTACGTAGGTATCAATTTCCAGCTTTACTCTACCTAGTACCCGAATTTGTAGCACGGCTTTTAATAATATAAATCATTTCGCAATAATTGTATTTCGAGATAAAAGTTATTAAATAATTTTTATTTTCAGTTACATTTCCAGGAAAATTTTAAAAGGATTATATACATTTGCATGATGAAATAATAAATGACTGTCCACCAAAAAAGTCGACTACAACTGCAACTAATTATACTCCAAACTTGGTTGCTCATTTGCCACCTTTTCCATTAAATTATTTACTAGTTTGACGGTTTAATCGAAGCATATAGCTAAATTTTAGGCATTTACTTTATATAAATAAATATTTTAATTTAAACTTCAGCAATTATAACGGATGTATTATTGTAGTTGCGGCATTATTCCATATTAAAACTTAATTAGTTATTTAAACTAAATGCTCAAAGGCTTAAAAGCACTTGATATTTCAGTAGCTTATGATGTATCGAATTAATCCATGAAAATGTTTTAATTATGAATAAATTCGCTTTATATACAATGAACGACGAATACTGAAAAAGCTATAAGTGGTACATTAAACAATAGCCAATGTGACTGGCTATTGTATATTTTACGTACAATAGTAACAATGGGAATATTTTTTTTTTACAAAAGTCCTTGTTTTACATTTGTAAATAACAAAATGTCGGCTTTTGGTTCCCGAAAATAAGTAACAAATATCAACAAAAGTGATTACTGACTAATTTAAATAGCAACAGATTTCTAACTCGCAATATTGCTATTTGTAATTGTACCGTATATATTGGTTTTAAATTAATTTGAACAGTAGATAATTTTTATATTTTAGGATTAAGTATTCATTTAGCTCGTAAGTTTTCAATGTTTGCTTTTTTTTAACTACAGCGACGTTTTTTAAAGTTATTTGAGTCAGTTCTAGAAAGAGTTTAAATTTAGACTACGGAATTGTGGATTGCTACAAAGTAAACGAAACGGTAAATGAGGGTTCTGATCAAAGCAACACAACATTTTAGCCGCTTTTGTAAAATAAGACTTTCATACATTTATATTTGCAGTCACTCTGAGTTTTTGTTTTTAAATAAACGTAACTATTTTTAGAATGTTTTAAGCATTGGTTCGAGCACTTACGAAGTGTTATTATTTTTTTTATTTATTCAGTAACAAATAAATTATATAAACAAAATAAAAATTGTGAAATAAATTTTTTGTAAGATATTATAGGACTAAAATTACCTTGGAATAAAAATATAAGTAAATTTCGGACGACTGATATGGAAAACATCTTTCAACGTTAAAATGTAGCTCCATTCTTAAATAAATTTATTCAAGATGTTGGAATGCAAAACAACTTATAAAAGAGTACTAATAACCTAAACAGATGCTTTTATTTCAGATTTCAATAGAATAATATTACACGTCTCATCGAAAACAGAAATATCTGTTTGAATAATGAATCCACATCAAATTTTAATATTTTATTAGTTAATGTTCTTTTATCTTTATGTTTTTTTTTATTGCAAACTATTCACAGCCTAACTCGGACAGGACAATTAATAAATAACTAATGTTAGGAAGAAAATCCGGAAATGAGCAAGTGTATTGACTCAACACTAGCCTTACTAAAATGTCGACGGTTGTGTTCCCTCACATTCATTCTGACACTAGACTTTGTAACGAAAGCACGTCATTCGCGCCAAAGGATTGTAATTAATAATATCTAAATCTAATCATGTAAAAGTTAATGACCAACATTAATTATTGCGTATTCGAACTCTGCTACACACTATTACTTTTTAAACTACTTAAAGAAAAAAGTCTAGTACCCTTAAATGCATGATTTTTAATACCATAAATTGACACAGGTAGATAATTAAGCATAGATAAAGGGAAAAATAAAGAAAAAAATATTTATTTTCCAAAAAGTATATTTTTATAAAAAAATAAATAATTTATTAAAAGCAAAAAAATACTGTGTTTGAGTTACCGTTTAGAAATTATGTAAGGACAAATACACTGATGTATAAATACATCATTTATTAAACCATATTATTTTTAATGCTGCAAAAAATCAGAACATTTTTAAGTACATAACGTACAAAAATGTCCAATAGATAAAGTGATCGTTCCAAAATCACAGCGGGTACAAAGTATTTGTGAACGAATAATGTAGAAATTGCTTTACATTTTCCCAGAGCTTATTATCGGATAATGGGTATTAGCTCCCGTGTGTTTGAACATCAAGTGATGTTTACGACATTAAATAATATGGAGACATTTATCTCCGTAAATATAGCTTATATTTAACAAGATTCTGTTCAATTTTTATAAAGATAAGTAGACAGTTTATTGTTTTATTTAATACTTAAGAGACGAGAATAGTTCTGTATTTTATAATTAAACTATTATCATATAATACGTTAAATAACACTTCATCATTGTTAAATTCTAGTCTATATATAAGTAATAACAGAAAGTTGTGTTCCTCTGTTTTATATCTATCATCATCATCAGCCCACTATACATCCCCACCGATGGGCTCGGAGCCTATCTTAAGTTAAGGGTGAATAGGCCATAGTCAACCGCGCTGGCCCAGTGTGGGTTGGTTGACTTCATATATATCTTTGAATTTCTTCTCAGATATATGCAGATTGTATCACGATGTTTTCTTTCACGTTAAGAACATCGGATAAATGTACATATGTAAATCGGAAATCGAAAAAGACATTTGTACATGGCGGGATTCGAACCCAAGACCTGCAAATTGCAAGTCAAGTGCTTGACTCCAGAGCCACCGACGCTCTTTTAAATCTAACTTGTCCTAAATCACAAAACGTATCTTAAAATATTTTCTTATTAATCGTGTCACATATTGTTGTCATCGTTACTTTAGAAAGGTTTGAAAGGTATGATAATGTGTTTTATACAAGTATCTCGACAATGAAAACACATTCTTTGTAGATATAGACAAAGCCATATGTCCTGATGGGCAGAAGTCAAACTAAATTATAACTGCTTAGTGGCCTCAAACAATGACAAAGAAATTTAATGTTATCTTCCTAATATTATAAATGCGAATGCTTGTATGGATGGATGGATGGATCGATGTTTGAAGTATCTCCAGAACGGCGGAACGAATGCTCATGAAGTTTGGCATAGGTATATAACATAGTCTGGAAGAAATTTTAAGCTTCAATTTTTTTTTTATATATGTAGGTTTTAAACAATTTCTTATAGAACTTACCGCAAAAGTATCGCCTTTCTTCACGGCCCAAATAAGTTTGTCCCACTATAGCATATATTATATAACTTGAAAAAGAATTAAATATGAAATTTTAAACATTTTAGCGAAACACACGGCGTTAGCATTTACATATCACGCCGCGGGCCGGTTCCAGCGCAAACGACTAATTAACATAACACTGCGGGTTGCTTGAAGATAAGAGGGGCGCATTATGGGGCATTGCCTCTAAAATCGAACAATTTCAGCGTCATTGGTTTACGTCTGCCGTTAATATTGTATTATTCATTGCTAGATTAACATTTAAACCTTCACCTTGGAACGCAAATCTCTTAGATCGTACTAGGCATATGCGTTGGCATTATGTTCGATACAGTCCGTGTGGCATTATAAAAAATTTCAATTTGTATCGATAAAATATCAACCAAATAATATTGAATATTACAGTTCCAATCAAAATACGTTATAAATTTCATCCCATATTGAAAATTAAGACCTTTTTGATGAATTGATAATTTGCGATTTATAATTCGCTCGTCAATTAATGTACAATTTTGGATTGATATTAATTAACGTATGAATTATTCAAATAGTTTATTTAATAATAAATCGATTGAAAAATAGTTTTAAAATGCCTTACCGTCAATGGGTGTTGTCTGTTGACTGGAATTGATCCTAGGTCTCTCCTCTCCAGCGGCAATATGCTTCGCGGTACGACGTACTACAGGACGCAATTCTTTATCTACGTCACTTGTATCTTCTTCTTCGAAGTTGTAGTCGATATCTGAAACAGGTTTTCATTTGTACAGCAGACAGTAATAAATTCTGGCCCTATCTAATATCCCCTACTATTTAATTTTTTCTGATCTTTAAATGTTTTCTGAAAGAAATTTCCGTACATATGTATGATTTTATGTCTTTGGGTTTGTATATAAGTACCGTAATGATTGTTTGAAACTATTTGTCAAATGGTAGGGTGACTTGTACAACGACTAGTACTTTGTCGCATTGAAATGTAACTTACATTCGCACAGCTTTTAAATTTTTGAATAATGCAATTGAAATCAAAACATTTTAAAACTACTGCAGTATTATTGAAGTAAGAAGAAGTATTAAGAAGAATTATTGTTAAGATGTAAGGGCCTAACCATAAAAACTTAGGCAATGTTTCAAATATATTTTTGCTTAAACATATGTTAACCTTTTTAGCGCACGCTGATTTATACATTACTGGAAATCATGATTTAAATATAATTGTAAGTAAGCTTCCGAAATACGATCTTTACAAATAAATAATAAAATACTTATACCTAGCTTGGCAATACCTACATACTTAAGGGAAAAATATCTTATTTTACAAATCAATTTTCTTCCAAATTATCTATTACCGGCAGTCAAAGGGTTAAAACACATCTTAAAATAAACAGGAACTAATTGTATTTTGACAGTAATGCAGAAAATATTTTATTTTAAAAAGCGCTAGCAATTTAAAATTGCGAATTTTTTAACAACTTCAAAGAAACGAGTAAATTTAAAACCTGAATAAAAACTCACAAATAATTGTGTTCCATAAAATTTTAAGAATATGAGAGTTAAATAACCCGTCGCTTCCAGGAACCTTAACAATTTCGATTAATGAATTTTATCAAGAAAATATTTTTTTATTTCGAAGTTTAATCCAGAAAAACGTCATGACCACTCATTTAATACTTTTGTTATCGCCTTTTAAATAGATTGCGGTAGTAAAGAAAAACGTAATAAACAAATTTCAAAGGAAAATAAAATATTTTAAAGCCGCTCGCTTATTCCTATCGGACTTAAAGTAAAACTACAAATGTCATACATATTTTGACATATTCTGTCGATAAAGATACGAAAACGCATATTGACAATATTCGTGATAGACCCTTTGTTTTTATCTCAGTCACGTAGAGTCTACGCATCAGCTTTTTGTTCTCCAGATAGATATATCTTCCTATCACTTCACTTCACTTTTAACAGTGGTAGAGCCCGCTTTAACATCTTCGCACGTATTGGCCCGGCTCGCCCGGTGAAATACCACGACCACACAGAAGACAGGCGTGAAGTGGAAGCAATTCCGCGTTTCGTCTGATGAGTGTACGTCCCGGAGGCCTAATTTAGTCCTCTTTCCCTTCCCATCCTTTTCTTTATAAGGAAAGGATGGGAAGTGGAAGTGGACTTTCCGGATGAGAGGATGCATGGAAAGCTAAGATATTTTGTTTCTGTGCGTCCTCTCCTCCGTCGATTAAAGGTAGGCAACACATATGCAATTTCGTATGTCTATGGGCAACGGTCACTTCGCTATTTCAGCGATTACAGGTGGCCGCTCGCTCGTTTGCCACCTTTTGATATAAAAAAATAAAAAATCTAGCCATTTCAATATTTAATCATATCATCTTTCATACAATCCGTTCATATAATTTTAAGTCTAAAATAAAAATCTAATATCATTAAGTAATTACGACGTTAGCACTTTGTCCGTTCTAATGATAAATTCGTATTAAAGTTGGGGAATACTAAAGTTAGACGAGCGAATATGAAACCACTATAAGGAGAGTTCGCAAAGCTTTTCCGGATAGTTACCAGTAATCCCTTAACAATGTTGGTCGTGTTAACAGGTTTACATTAAAGAAATTTAAATGTTTTTATAATATTATTCTACTAAAATACATAAAATTGTTTTAACAGTTGTAAAGGCAGAGTAAACAAAAGACTATGTTTTGAAGACTATTGTGAGTTTCGACGTCAGTGAATATTTTATCAATATATATTTTTCTTATTCCATTTCAATCAAAGGAATAAAATCTGTACTAGTAATACATTGGAGACGCCAGCAACAACAACATCTGTTCCACGAATGGATCAGCTCGCCCTATGCAATACCTCGACCTCACAGAAGACAGTCGTGAACTAGAAGCAATTTCGCGTTTCGTCAGATGAATGTGGTGCCGGATGCCAAATTTTAGTCACCTTTCCTTTCCCACCCTTTCATTGGGACGCTCAGAAAGAGAATATGGGGATATTCTCTTTCTGAGCGTCCCCTCCTCGTATTAGATTACGATCCTTATCCTCGCATTCTTACGATTAGTCGTAAGCAACGCATCTACAATTCCGGATGCCTACGGATAGCGTCGCTTCGCCATTTCGGCGAATTCAGATGGCCGCTTCCTCGTTGCCAACTTATAATATAAGAAAACATTTTTTTAATTTTTATTATATTTGATTTACATGATTACCATCATTACGTAACAGTATAATACTTCAATATTCGTTATCAACTTAGCTTCTATGCATTAGTATTGGGAATTGTGTAAAAGGAGTTACTTCTAACATGTTTGACACAACTTTTTTGATTCTACATGTCTGTTACATTCTGGATAGAACAGAAAGCATGAACTTTTAGACGGTTACTCAATTTCACCAGCAAACCAAATTTGCGGGAGTTCCAATTCTAGAAAAATACGTGTATGCTGTTTTGTTGAAATAAAGTGTTAGAAAATCCAAACACAATTCATTTGTGTAGCGTTGCTATTTGTGTTCCAATTAAAGTTTAAACTAACGTCGGTACAACGTAAATTCATCTTCCTCTAAAACAAGTTTATTGCTTTCAAAACAAACACTAACTAACATCTAACAAGGGACACGCGATTTGTACATTAATTAGAGATAAGTTTTTTAATGAAGGGAAGGAAACAACAGCGAAGTTTAAAAGAATGAACTTCAATTTTTTTGTGTAGTAAGATAAATTTCATGCCAAGGTTATTTTAAACTTCTACAATATATTTTTAAACAATTCGAGACATGATTTTAAATAAAAACATCAGATATATTACGCTATAACACTTCACAGACCAAACCATTTTAAAAATTCAAACTTGTCATGAGAGAAGCTCGAATTAATAAATATTTAAACAAAGTCGGCGAATATTCACCGTCGTAACGACAATACTACCATTCCTTTCATTATCTTTTAAAAATAAGAGACAGCAATAGGCTTCGTACACGAGCATCAAGCTATTTGAAATTTTTATGAGAACAAACATTCGCCAAATCATGTCTTGAGTGATTTTTGAATGCCATCCAATGCTTAACCCTATTTTTACCCGAGTGTCAATAAGGTAATGTTCTTTGCGTGTATGTAAATTTGTTTTTATGTGTGAGGGTTTGAAAGTATGTAAATTTTATTGTGACAACCTAGAGCCTAAACTACTGAACAGATTTTGACGAGTGAAGTGTCGTTCGATTCGCCTTCTCCGAATTGTCATAGACATAACATTAAATGATCCTATAAGGGTTCCGTTTTTTTATTTTCGAGGTACGGAACCCTAAAAACACACTGTGACTGGAACAAATAAAATTCTATATTGATAAAAAACGATTTTGAAAAATATATTATGTACCAGACGAAATTTGTTGCTAAGCGATATTTTACTTTTAAAACTTAAATTAAGCTACAACATTTGAATATTACAGAATATTTTCAAGCTATTGCAACAAAGTTAAAATTCGTTTTTCGTCTATTTTGTTGACGCCAAGGCCGGAGCATCTCTGGTATCTCGAGTAATAAAATGTAAAATGAACATGCTGCTAGCCGCCGCTGCGCTTTTCTGAAGTAGGAAGAAAATCGAATTTAACGCTGTCGGCACAGCGCGGCGTGGCGAGAGGAACACAGGCGACAAGTGTGTTGTTATGCATCCGTGTTCCCCGTGTATTCAATTACTACTACACTTGGGCTTCGTTTTGCATGAACGCACCTCACAAGAGACCTAGGTATGACGTAACTTGTCGATGTTTTCGTTTCATTCCTTTGAGACTAGGATGCATTAGCTTTTATTTGATCATTTGTTATTTACAAGTATATTTTTTATTTATTTATCCGTTATAAAATTAAATAAAAAAGTTAACATGGCAAAAGCTTTATCAAATTAAATCGTTCAATAAAATAAATTCTACGTACAATTTAAATGTATAAATGTTTGGCGATTTCATGAAATTGGAATGTTTATTTGCTGAGTTTTAGAGACAGCGAAAATGTCGAAGAATCGACTATTACATTGTTAGTTCTTAACTGAACTGGAAAATACGTTTACGTTTGATTTAATATCAATAAGAGCGTACTTCTACTAGAAATATATTTACATTTGAGTTTGCTCTTTAATGATTAGATATGGTTGAATATTAAAACAAACGAAATAGTAACTATTTTTTTTAATATTACTAGCTGTCGATCGCGACTCCGTCCGCGCGGTATTAAAAATAAACTACAACAATGTAACCTATATGTTCTTCCACGTGTTGTACAAATTACACTAAGATCCATGCAGACGTTCCGGAGATATCTTCAAACATCCATTCATCCATCCAAACATTCTTTTTTTTTTACGTTTTATAAGCTAGCGCTTAACCACGATCCCACCTGGTAAAGTGGAGATTTGGATATTGAATATTTGGATATTTGAATTTATTCGCATTTATAATATTAGTAAAATGTCGTAGATAACTCCATAGTATAATATCAATATTTATCTCAGTAGTTATATAATTGTATCGTTTATCCGTTTGAAGTATTAATAATAACAAGGTAGCCTGGCTTTAGAGCATGAAGCCTCTTAAGAATCCCTTCAAGTGGAAAGCAATAGATTATTATAGCAAATAGCTCAGTGTTGCTCTAATATTCCGACAGAATGTAAAGAGACTTCTCTTACATTACCTATCGGTTTCCACTATCTGAAAATGCCAAGCCCTTTAACTCCCTTCGAAATC